GTTGATTTGCCAGGAAAGCCAAGACACCACGTACTATTGCTGAGAACGTTGTAAAGAAATACCAGGGTTTAGCAACAGTTCTGGGCTCAAAGAGGCTGAGTCAGCATAAGAATGAAAAATTCAGATCACACTAAGCAAAGGAATCCCTCTGCAGCGGCACAGCAATGCTGACTGTGTGTGAATGAACAGAGCTGAAGTGAATAGGAGGCTCCAAAGAAAAACAGGGCAGAGCAGTCAGAAAAACTGACTGCTCTGAGCATCGTGGATGAAACCGCTGAGGAGCAGAGGCTTGTTGAGCTTAAGCAAACAGTGCAAAATAGAAAGGAGAGCTGGATGAGTTAGAAAATCACAGTCTACTTCAACTCATCAAACCAGTCCTTTTTGGGATAAGACCCTCTCTCTCAAGATCTCCTTCACTGAGAAGGAACAAACTCCTTCAAGAATTGGGAAGCTAATGATAAAACTGTATGAAAAGTGGCAAAACCTGCTCAGGACCATGGCTGGAAGAAGGCAGTGAGGAGGAGTCAGTCCACAGCAGTGTCTCTGCATTGTTTTCCCTGACACCTGGGTCCAATACTTGCTGTTCTGGTTTTTTTTTCATTAACAAGACCCTTAGCAACCATCCTTTACAACTGTCAATACAATATGGTATACATTGTACAATCCTTGGACAGAACACGCTCCTCAGTGAAACAGAAAAGGCATTTAGGGACTTTTTTTGGCCTGGTGCTGGGGCAAGCCATTGGCATCTGGTATGTAAGCAACAGCAGCATTTGATCCTCAAGCAAGCACTGTGCCACAGTCAGAGCAGAGAAGCTATTAAGATGTCTGGGCTAGAAAAAAAGCCCTGTTCTGACAGCCTGAGGGCAAGGATAAAGGCTGCAATTGCAAACAAACAAAACTACGCACCTTGCAAGATGGAAATTGTAAAACTGGTTAAAAGAAGGATAAAACAAGCTTCAGCCAGACATCCAAGCAAAGCTATCTCTCACAGCAGTTGCTCAAAAGAACAGCAGTTTGCAAGGATGTGTTTTAGTCAGTGCTCATGCTCACACTGGACCTGAAGGCTTTCTTTCTTCCTCTACTGCTGCCTGGAAGAGAAAGCATGCCTCCATCTCCAGTGATTGCAGCTCAGTGTTACTGCAGTATGGTTGGACAGATCACTCAAGACACTAATCACCTCCTTTTAACACCTAGTACAGACATTTATAAACTGTCAGATTTTTTGGACTTTTTTTTTTGTTTCTCTCCACATATCTGTATAACACAATTTATTTCAAATAAAAACATACAATGTTTTTACTTTTTTAGTATCCTATCCCAAATAGTTTGTTCTAAATTACTAATTTTCCTCCCTTTGGTCAGTCATTCCAGAATGGAAATCTCAGTTCTGCAGTATCAGAGAATACTTCCATTGGAATTGGGGTCTTGTTGGATATTTTGTTACCTCCATGGTCAAATTCTAAAACAGTACCTGATGGAGTGACTTAGAATAGAAACATAAATTAAAAACATATCCCTCCTTTCTTTTTTAATCTCTAAACTTGAAGAGCAAGCCACTGTGCTGTTGCCCAAACATCTTAATTTTACAATTTAAGTGGGAAATTAATGCACTCATTCAGAGGAAGGTAATCACTGCTGATACATCCATCCATCTGCTCACCAGAATCCAACACCCAGTTCTGTGAAGTCTCCCAGACTGAGAGCCACCATTCCCATTACAGCTGCCTGTTGAAAGCCTGAGAGAAGGGAAATCATTAGCAAGGCAGAACAAAAATAGGGAATTACGCTATGATATCTACTTCTTCAGCCACATAAATCAGCTGTTGGGACCCAGGGTTCACTCCACTCCTTGCAGCAGCACCCAGAGCAGACCACCACCAAACACCTGGCTACAGTAAGAGCACTGCCCTGATGACTACCCACCTGCACAAAATTTGACAAGCTTCACAGTACAGAAGTGAAGTTCAGAAACGACTTGTAAAGGATTGAAAAGGAACTTTGAAGCAAGCCAGTCCTAACAGAAATCTTCCATATATTGTCTAGAGAAATAAAATTTACAAGATCTGTTTCAAGTCCTTTCTTCAAATACCTACAATTTCTTGTCTATGAAGGAATCTGGCCGGTTTTCCCTTCCAAATTTGTTTGGTATTTGTTAATGAGGTTACAGCGCCATCTCCTGGAAAAAATCAACTTGTTGCAACTGCTCCCGAAATTTAATTTTCATTTCAGTGTGCTCATAGAACCAGCAAATACATTAGATTCTGCCATGACAGTGGGGCAAGGTGCAGTAACTGGATGGGAAAAAAAATGTGATAACCTTTCCTCTTCTTTAGTAGACGTACTGCAAACTGTTATAATGAACATTGCAGAAGAATGGAGAGGTTGATTTTAGTTATACCCTGACCTTTCCAGAGGAATCAGTTATGCTCTACTTTTAAGGGGCAACAGGAGATTAACAACTTTAGAACCAGCACTGGGAGAGGATAGGCCTGCTCAAACAAGTCTGGCCATTCACTGATTCAAACAGAAGTGCAAGGGTTTCTGGTCCAAGAGGTACTTGTACCTTCTGGTCAGAAGATATAAAAGCCAAGGGCCCAAAAGGCTAATATACTACAATGAAATCAAAACACTGCCAAAAAATTATTTTAATTTTTGTTTCACTGCTTTATAAAAACACTGAAAAATTAATAGTAGTAAAACTACTTTCACATAAAAAATGCCGTTGTCAGAATTTTAGCTTTTTTAAAAAAATAAAATATTATTATATGGTTTTATTTAACAGTTAGCATTGTTAATAAAATATAAAAGAATTGTCTTTTTTTTCAGGTGGCTAATATAATTTCTACAAAAGCAATTCTGATCATCCAGGGGAACTGTAACTTCAAAGAATTAAAACACTGAAAGACGGAAAAACCTGAAAAACTCACCCATTCTTAGATACGTGTATACATATGCACAGATACTTAGTTGAGATTTTAGTGTGTTAAATTAGCTATTTGAAAGCATAGAACACATTAATTAAGAGTTACTAGCAAGTATTTTAATCTTGCACCTGTACATAATATTAACACTCTTAGGCACTTTGCTATATTCATGGAGCATTCTGAAAACTTTTTATGTGGCACATAGCATAAACTCTATCATCTTGGGATTACTACTGGCATTATCAAGAAGAAATAATAGTCGTTTACAGGAGTATTAACACTATTCGTGTATTATCCCATTGAGTGGGATAGTACCTAGTGTGCTTGTTACCACATCCAACTCTACAACTGATTGAAGAAATAAAAAATATTTCAGTTACTTAAAACACTTTTCTTTCATTAAAAGGTTCCACGGCTTGATATTTAAGCCTCTTTATGAAAATGCAAAAAGGAAAAACTATAGCTATTTTTATGATCTAAGCAATGTAATTCAAGTCTTGGGTATCATGGTTCCCTGTAGAAAAATCACACTGCCTGCAATCACTAAAATTTTATTCATAAACCCCTGTCAAATGGGTAACTTGGGGCCACAGGAATACCCTGTACACAACACAGCATCTTGCTTTTGAGCACAAAAACAACCTTCAGCACTGTGCTGTATTTACCAACATAGGATAATGTATTTACTGGTACAGCCAGGCAGAAACAGCTGGATTTTTCCTTTAGCAAAGGCTACTGATGAGAAATGCAGACAGGCTTCGCCATGAATATACTCTTCTTCAGCCATACGATCAAGCAGCTGTAAGAACAGACTTATCAAAGATGCTTCTGATGTTGCTCTCAGATACTGTACTTTTAATAAACCTATTTCCACTACTTTCTCCAATAAATAGCTGGTCTTCGAAATAGAGTGCATTAAATAGGACATCTTTGTAGACAAACATACTATTCTGCATGTAGACCTCAGACATTCCCTATGGCTTCTCTGTTTCTCTAACATCAGCTTTTGTCAGAAATGAATTCTGGGTTTAGTGCTACAGGCTGAAATCTGAATAAAACTACAGAACAGTATGTGAGACTTAATCAAGGCAAGCACAGCTGAGTTTTGTACTGACATAAAGCTGACATTGTACTGACATTGACAATAAGAGATGTCATCTGTTTACTATTCTGAAGTGCATGTGTTGCAACATTACTCTTGTAAACAAACAGTACAGGAGCACAGAAACAACATAGTGACAAGACTAACTTTGCAAATAAATATCTAACTCATTTTTTCTGTCTTTTCAAAGTACTATCCAGACAGATTGCTCCTTGATGTGTTCCAAGTATTAGCTGTAGTTTATGCTGCCAGGTCACTTTCTGAAAAGAGAGAAGTGGTCTCCTTCAGAGCTGACTGAAACAGTTTGCTAAGTAACTCCGTAAATAAATGTATTTTTAAAAAAAAACATAAGCATTCTTCATTTAAAATCATATTTATTCACTAGACCAAGTTAAAACTCAAATAAAGGAGATGAACAAAGACTAGATGTTCTCCCACCTTCTCTGTACCACTTCTGAAGGTGGGAGGTAGGAGTAACATCTGATTTGATTCCTGCATAATGTTTTGGCTGATCCTGAGAACCATGCATTATGGTTGCTTGCTTTATTTCATAAGATGGCCTAGCAGCATTGTAAAGGTTCCTTTGTCAGAAATAGATTTAATTTATAGGAATTATTACGGATATTAACTCTTAGTTTCAGTTATTAATTTCTGCAGTCTTAGTTGCAGCTATTAATTGCTGCCAGAGGAATTTTTTAAAATTGTATTGAGATGAATTCTCCAAAAATAGATCTACAAAGCAATCCAATTTTCAGGATGAACCTTCTCTTGAAATCTAATTGTGCACTTACTAAAATTACAATTAAGAATACATGTAAAAAGTAAAGAATATTGCATCCTTACAGCAAACTGGACAGATCTGCAAATGAGCATAACTATGTGATCTCAAGCAAAACAAAGCTGCATCTATTTAATTATCTCTTCCAATGTGAACTGAATGATGGGGTAGACACAACTAGACTTTTTCTGCCTTCAATTCACAACAGTGTATTTTGCTCAGCTTTCACACTGTTCACAATTATGGGCGCTCACTGCACGTGCGTTAAGAACCACAACTGCAAAATAGCTCCCAAGTTCTTTTCTTTCTGTAGTACAGAATATAACTTTCTTACAGAATGTAGCTAAAAGCATCCATATTGTAGTGGCAGCCTTTGAGTTTCTTTAAACAGGTCAGATACTCTTCAGGAATTCCTGTGTTTCAAAGAGACATTTGTTCTCTCAGCTGAAAGGTCTGATCCCACAGACATACAGGATTTTACCAGGTCTATTTGGCCAATCATACCAGAATTTGTTTGTTCTTGGTATGCACTTTAGGACAAAAACAAAAAAATACTTTGATCCAAGAATGCTCATTATATTCTGCCATTCTCTTCTTGACCTCCATATATAGAAGTACCTAAGCCTGCCAATGGACCTTTTTTTTTTTTACACCCTTCCATATTTTAAGACAACTTGAGTAGTGTGTAGAATATTGCGCTGATAAGCTAAACTATGCACTCTTGGATAAATAAATGCCTAATGACACCAGTATTAAGAAAAATCAGACCAACAAATATTAACCATTCACCAAACAGCATTAGAATGCAGATTCACGTTTGCCTGGAATAGCCTGCCCTGGTCATCCTTTGAACTTTAAGTTTCCTGAACCAGCCATGTTCAGCCACCAACAGACGTGAAATAAATCATTCATAAGCAACCAGAAGTTTTTACAGTTTCAGCAAATTGTTTGTCCTTCCATAGCCCTTGAGGATATCCAACTGCTTCAACCTGAATATGTGTACTTGAACCATTGAAAATGCATTTTCTCCATGGATAAAAAACTTCTCTTCAATTCTCTTATAAAGCTCTACATAGAATGACTGAATGTACATGGCTGAAAGCCACTGCATGAAGATCAGTAGCTGTGGAGGGAAAAGAATCAAAGTAGCTCTTCCCATACATTCCATCAGTAGGCAGAACTCAACTGTTACTACTCAAAACACCTTCTTACTGGAAAGTTGCTCTAGAGCTTTAGATCACATGATGCAGTTGTGAGCATTAAGAAATTGAAGGGCAAGAGAAAAATTTACATGAAGCCACATTCCATGGAATTCTGTGCATGTGACACATGGTTTTATTTTCTCCTTAGGTATGTGAGGTATTTTCACTGCAGAGAGGAGTGCTTGAACTATGAACTTCCTCAAAAATAGCATTCAGATGCATATAAGCATGGCATCTTTGCATGAAATGCCTCTGTAAAATGAATACTACGTGGAATTAATGAAAGAACTGTCTTGCACAATGGAAACATCAGGAGACAAAATTGAACCTTCTAGCAAATAACCTTAGTAAGGACTGATGAAAAAAGTCTTCTGGGAGACTTGAGATTACAACATCAAGAATCCCCAGAAAGGGTGGCATCTGAAGTAACAGTAATCAGATGATCAGGAGTCCAATACTTGTCCAGTTGAACAGAAAAAAGGCTGGAGGTTGAATGGAAACTACAGTCATATAGGACCAGGTATTTTTAATCTATTAAAAGAACGGTGGGAAAGAGTGAATTCCAAACTTCTTCTACTGCAGGAACATCTTTACTGCACTGAACCAAGTGACACAGCTTATTTCCTAAAGGCTTTAGCAGCTGTATTAAACTGACTCATAACTGTCAGGCGAGAGAAATCCACATAAGAACAGAAGTAATTTTTTCATAATAAAAAAAAAATAGTGAAAACATAATAAAAACCAATTTTAACTCCTTCAGAATAAAAGTATTTTCAGAATTACTATGTAATTTTATCAAAATACTCTTTTTCTTTTTTTTTTTTTAAGAGGTAGGAGGGAATATAAATTACCCCTTAAGTTCTGGGATCACAGGTCACCACTTGCCAATTACTTTTTCTTTTCCTTCCGTATTTCCCATTCTTCAAAAATATGAACAAAGGTAGAATGTAAAGAGAATTATTTTAAATTAAAATATTCTCACTGTAAGATTCCATTTTCTCTTTCTCAGCACTACATTTTAGGTAACATCTGTCTTCAAGCTGTTATTTCTTCTGTGGTTCAGGGTTATGTTCTAAACCATAACACAGATGAACATCACCTGAAACCCCTTGTTTGTTTTGGGGGATTGATGACCTTTCTGAAGGAAGTTTTCTCCTCATCAAAGGTTATGTGGAAATATTAAAGCCTCATGGGGTGGAAACAAATCTAAAGAAGTCTTACTCCCTACCAAGACAAAATTGTCTGATCCTCACAGAAGCCCCATTTGCAGAAAGTTTCCCTGCTTCACTAACACAGGCCATGGAAGATTAATTTACTTCATTATTCTCAAGAATTCCAATTTCTTTCTTCTTCCCCAAAATCAGATACAATGAAAAATTATAAATGGATACTGATGAAAAAAGGTCAGTTTTAGTGCAAGAGTTATAACTATACCAAAGAGCTCTTCTAGGGCAGGGAGCAAAACTTGCTGCCAGAATCTCAGCCTCCTCATGTTCAATAGCACAGCAAGCAAATCTTCCCACCTTACAACAAGAAGTAAACAAGGGGGAAAAAAAATAAAGTAATAAACTGACTAGTATTTTTCATTTCTCCGAAATGAATTTTAAGAACAGCAAGCCCAACAAAAGTACATTTTATCTGATGTTTAGAGCAGTAGGGAAATAAAACCCAGAGGCTGCAGGCTTAACTGTTTGGTATTTGGCAGAAACAGGTGTCATTTCAGTCAGAACAATGAGGATTCACAAACCAAAAACAACACACACACACACACACACACACACACACTTCCAAGGTCACATATTACTTTGCTTTTAAAGTCATCTAAAGCAGAGGCAAGGAAGGGGAAGTACCAGTAAAGATGAGAACAGTTGCTAAACCCTTACTACTAAGAAGTCCACCAGATCAGGCTGAACTTTTTCCTACCATCATTACTGAGAATATCTGTTAAGGTAAATACAATAGGAGTAGATATGGAATTTGAATTCACATTTTTAATTTGAGTTGAGGAAATGTGAAAATAATCCTTTATCTGAGGGAAGCAATGCTGCTTTAGGAGCGTACGTACTGCTTTGTTCCTCTCATAAAAATACAACTGGAAGCAGTTCGCCTCTTTTAATTTTGTCAACTGCTATATTAGATGTATTATTTGAAGGAAACTCATATAAAAATAAATTTACATGTTTGAAATGTAGTGTTCTTGAAGTACTAGTAGTTTTCAATTTATAATTTTAGAAAATAAAACTCCCTTGTAAGGATGGCAATTTTTTTCATGGAAAAACAGAGGATAAAGTACTTTTGAGATACAAAAATATTTAAAGACTAGAATCTGCAATGCAAGGACTGGCCAACCATTTTTATATTATGTGCAAGCTTATTAGTTGGTCTTAATTGTCTATGTACAAAGTGATGAAAAATACTAGAGAAAGTTGTAATCATACCAAAAGTTCTAATCATCTTAAGAGCAGCCTTTCAGAATTCTGGTTTTGTTTTAGATAGCGAAATGTAGTGTTTTAGTTTTGAATATTTAGCATTTAAAGAACAGCTGACATCATCCTCAACAGAATTACCTGAACCTAATTGCTCTAAAAGCATAAATACACCAGATTTATACAAATACTCAGGCATACAGTGGGGAAAACAAAAAAAAACCTTTCGATCAAGTGATCCAGTGAAAGTCAGCAGAATTTCAACACCTAACATGGATAGATTGTGTTACGCTAATAAAAAAATTCAGTAATTATGGTGCAGTTAACAACCTTTTTATGAGTCTGTCTTCCTGAATCACCAAAATAAACAACTCCTACTTGGAGAAAATCACACTGTTGCAATTTACAGGCAAGACTTAATCCTTCTGTTCCCAACTTCTTCATCAGTGGTCGAAGTGAAAATTAGTCTTTTGCAAGAAAGCAAATAATATAGTAATACAACTCAACCTTTTCTTCTGTCCTTAAGCTGCTCCACTGCAATGTACTGTAAAACAAAGTGAAGATGATTTGCATCCACCACATTAGGTGTTGTGTTATGTTATGGTAGTAATGCACACACAAAATCTCTCAGCTACAAATATTCTGTTTGCTTACCATTGTCACTTACTCCATTTTCCTATTTTAGCCTCGTATTTCATGTTTATCATATCATTCTCACACCTAGATTTAGGTCTATAAAACATTTTAATGTACTCTGAAAACTTAACACAAAAAATTCTAAGATTAGTTGACAACTAATTAGCACAACAGATTCTTAATTAGAAGGCCTGTATATTGCCGCAGTTGAAGTAGATGAGTTATACAGTAAGATAAAATGCACCTAATTCACAGTGCTTTTTCTACCATATGGTTTCTCTCTAGTCGTCCCACTCCTTTTCATGACATTTAGATATGTTGGTATGTTTAATCTCATTTATTACTACTTCTAGAAGACAATTGTTACATTAGTATGAAGACTTTGGAGACAGAGAAAGCTACATTTTCAAAAATTTCTACAGCATTAGAATTGTTACTATTCAATGAGTTCAAAGACTTCTTTGTTCAGGTCCTTCTGTTAAGGTAAAATGTACCAATATCTCCTCTGCTTTTCCCAAGCTGCAAGCACGTAAGGTGAAGATTTTGCCCCCAAGCCCCAATGCTCACAGGAAACTGTCTCTGAGGTCGTAAGAACGTATGCTTGTTTAGTCATGTAGCAGCTTATGCCACGTACCCACGTTTCCAAAATATCAAACTAGCTAAAAAATACCAGTTAACTAAAGAAAAATCAAATTCAGATCTGATGTGGGGGAGGGGGGGAAGACAACTAAGCAGTTGCATCTAACAAGTAATGGTAAGTATCAATTTGAGGCAGTGGCTCCCCTCTTTTTTTGTTATTGAATTCCCAATTCTAGTTCCTCGCAGGACTGCCAGCTATCCACTTCTGGTCTGCTTCTAAATTACCTCAGCATGTTCACAGAAGAACTTTTTCTTCTGTTGGCTTTTTATCTCTCTCCAGTCTTTTGACCATTCCCTGTTTCCTCCCTCACCAGAATATTATATGACACTTCCAGCATTGCAACCTACTAGTGGTCCCATGTGCCAGAAAACATTCCAACAGGAACAAAATGATGGTCTGGCAATACTTGTCTAGGTAGTACCATATATTAGTGCCTTAACAAAATCTGTTGGATGAAGAATAGGAGATAGAATCCACTACAGAAACTTCCTTCATACTTTTATAACAAAAGCACAGTTGAATCCAGAGTTCAGGAGCCACTGAGCAGCTATTGTTTTCTCTGCTCATTTTACCTCCACCTCATCCTATTTCCCTCCAATCTTATGGTTTGTTCACCTCAATTCGAGTGGATCCAGTCTTTGGGAATGAAAACCCATGAGAACTGCAGAAATTGTCATGTTTACTGTAAGAATATCTGCAGGGTCATATTACTGGCATTTAAAAAAGCCAGATTAAGAGAACAAACCTTAATTCATCCCTTCCTGCTTGAGTGGCCTGTACGTCAAAATACCTGAAAACTGCACTGATACAGTAGAACTTATTTTAACTTGCATTACGAATAAACTGCACATGCTGTTTTACAGACAATATATATTTGTAAACTTGCTCATGCAAAATTAGTGTGCACAACAGGGATATTGGTTTTCTAATCCCCACATCTGTAAAAATGACATTTGTGTCTGCTTTTTTTGAACTGTGCCCAAACCACCTTTTTAATATAATAAATCTTACACATAATTCATCTGCCAGCCAAACCAATTTATGAAGCTGAAACAAAAAAGAATAAAAAGTTATACAAAAAACATGGTGCACCTGGACATTTGATTCCCACCTCCCCCCCTTTTTTGTTTACAAGTAGAAAGAGTGAACAAAAGAAAAAAAAAATCATGGTCACAAAATTTTGACATTTTAATCCTAAACATTACAGGGCAAATGGATGTTGGAACCTATTTCCATACACCATGCATCAACTTTTTAATTCCCAAATGTGGCCAAATCCACTAAAACAAAGAGTGGTTAACAAATTCTGGATTATGGAAATACATTTCTGGAAATGCTAGAAAAGCAATTATGGGAAAAGCCAACTGTCTCCATAAAGGTAAATAAAGTGGAACAATGTGTAATTAGATGCTTTTTCTGTTTCTTACTTATAACCTGTCAATTCAGTGCATTATATGGTTCAACATAATGGTCCCCATTTTGGACAAACATCTAACTAGTGTCCATTGATTCCAAGTTAGTGGATGATGAATCTTTTTGGATACTTTCAAAGATGGCTGCCAGCTCAGGGTTAGAGCTTATCTGTGACTGAAATTCACTCATTAATGGACTCTTCTCTGCTTCTGGAATGGTTAAAAGCGCTGCTACAGCCCTCATAGCAGATCGTTTTAGTTCATCTTGCTTTTCAAACTCCTGTTTCACCGAGTTTGCCTTTACCTAGGGAAAAAAAAATATGTTTGAAACTTTACTTAAACCTCTGCCTATACCCACCTTAAAAAAAATGTATGTTACAAAAATTTATTTCCCTCCATACTACCACTTTGCACAGCTTTCAAAATGACCTAAGCTCTTAAAAAAACAAACAAAAAATACCCCTAAACATCTTTCTAGCAGAACTGTTTACAAACAGACTGAAGCTTCAATACTGCAAGGTAAGCAGAAAAAGGCTGTAAACTAACAAGCCAGTCACCAAATGAAAGCAACTGTAGCAGCCAACCTTTACCTAGTAAGGTCAGTAAATGACATTAAAGTGCCATTATCACATTATTCACAGATTCCAGAGAATAGACTTATTCAAAAGTTGACCTCAGAGTAACTGCTTAACCTTCTGTTACAATTTTCAAATATGTTTTAGTGACACAAACATAAATTATTATTAAAGGCAGTCAATTTTCTTGATATGAAATACAGACGATTACAGCAATGGAAAAGCAAGAATTAAATGACTGTCACAGCACACAGGTAGATCAAGACGAGCAGAACGGAAGGAGACTAACTGTGCCAAGATCCAATAATCTTGTAATATAAATGAAGAGGCAGGATAAACAATAAAAACCCAACAAAAACAGAGCTACTTTACACTGCCTTCATCACCCAAATGCTTGTCTGAAACAACATAACCATCAGATGTCAGAAAAACTCCCAGTCTTCCAGTTCCACTATTTATAATGACATGAGATTTACATGTTGCCCAAGTGGCAGCTAAATTCTTGGAACAAAAGAAAGGACATCCAAGAAAAAGAGAATCTTTAAAAAGAAGCTAACAAAGCTACCCCTCAATTTGTAATTTAAATACATTTAAAACACGTATAAAGGCACACTTATTTATATTATCCTGCCTACTCCAGCTTATCAATCATAACTCAGAAAATGCTGCAACAGTACTGAAGTATTCTTTAAACACAAGTTCGTTTGTATTTCTATAAGACAACACAAAGTAATTAAATGAATTTAAGTACCTTAGTTGTACACGTGGCACGCAAAGGTTCAACAAGCCTATCCAATCTCTGCAGCACCGCACTTGGACAAAGGGTAGACAGTCTCACCAGCATTAAAAAGGTCAGCATCTAGGTTGAGGAAAGAAAACAATACAACTATTAGTCATGCCTAGCACATATGTGGAGATATATTTCCTACAATGCTGTGTAACCTTTCAAACAGTCACACTTTAATGAAAATGGTAAATGTAGTGAACTACTTAAGCATATGAATTAATTTTTTTACCATGTCAGTTTATTCACTATTTAAAATATTTTGACATAGTCACTGCTTTCACAGAGAAAAATGACAGCTAACCTTAATATCATAGTGATCCTTCAGGCCATCTTCAACATGGTTTAAGAATTCAAATATATCTAGTCTATCCAAACAGCTATCCAATAGAGTATACATGCACTCAAAAGCCGCTTTCCTTATGTCCAAGCCATCATCAACTGTATGTTTAAATGGTCCCATTTCCACCTGTCAGCAAACAGAAACACCAAAGTTAAGTAACACATTTAAAAAAAAAAAAAAATCTATCTACTTACATATATTTAGCACTGTTTTTCTTAGTTAACATACCTCTCTGATTAATTCCTTTCTGACTTTTGTTTCATTGTAAAGATGAGGAAGCACAGTATCTAAGAGGTCCCTTATCAAAGATGGTTTATTGTGGGCAGCTGAGTTAAACGTCACCAGGGCTACTCTCCTGACATTGAGATCTGGGTCCTCCAACGTTTTCAGAAAATCACCTGCAATCATACAGAAATAAATAACCTATGAGGATCCTTTTAATCTGCAACTTTAAAAATATCTTTGCTTATCTTTAACCTTTCAAAAAAGACATATTTAGTGCAGGAGTTATTCTAATGTAACAGACACCCGCTATTTCAGCATGATTACACAAATAAAACTACACTCATAGGAAAAGCATTAATTTAATTGATATACAGTACTTTGTATAATGAAACAGCAGTTTTATTATGGTCATCAAAACAAATGGCCATCACAATGGTATTTCAACTTGTTTTCTAAAGATACAGTACGTACATTAATGAAAATTATAATTAACCTTTGCTTTTATCCATTAAATTTTCTCAGAATATGCATTAGAAAACCAATCTCACTTCTGCAATTCATGAATTTGAGAACACCTCTCATGGAAACTATCAACACACTGATTTTTAAACCCATAAAATGGCATATACTGAGAATATCTAAATTACCATAAAATAAGGCTACTCAGTATATATTAGCAGAGCAACACCTTCTCATCCCACTCTACCCTCAGGCATTTTTAAATTAGATTTTCTATACTTCTATAATACAGCCTTGTTAAAATAAACAGCTGCATGAATATATCCTATTTTTCCCTCAATGTTTGTGAAGTTTTACTAGCTAACTCCATGAGGAGTGAAATTTTTCAAAGGAGAAAATCAACAAGGTGTAAACAAGGAAGTGACTTCTAGACACACAAAATAAACTGGGGTATCAAAACTCAATATGACTAAGACTTTTTAAGTGCTAGATACCAATAGGTTTTCGACTGAATAATCAATGAATATTTGCAGAAACCAAAGGCACAAGGCAGCTTCAGTGGGGGTAGAAAAAACCTAAAGCATAAGCAATTCTTGAATGTATTATTAAAAAAAAAAAGCTTAGTGATGAAAATAACACATAGGAATTGACTTCATTTAACCATAAATAGAAACCTTATGCTTTTGAAGTTAAATCTTTTCCCTCCCTGTTAGGCTTAGCAATATAGATAATTTTTTATCTATCTTTAAACTTGTAATTAATCAAGTATAAAACATTCACCACAGCATATTAAACAAATCTTTGTTATACAAATGAAAAAAGTTCAAAAAGCCACAGCATTGCAAGGCTCTTTATCATACTGATGTTATACTGAAAGCTCTGATTACCTTATCCCTGTAAAAATATACACAATTCCAAATGCTTTCAGATCACTAGCATTACAAAATCATAATGACCTATATTTACAATTCAAAACCTGGTAACACTCTGAATTCACACATGCGTATTTTAAGTGACCGAATGTCAAATACTTCCAAGACCACACGTCTGGGTAAAGATAGTACACTCTACTACATCAAACTGATTTAATTTGTCAAAAACATGGGAAAGAAAATCAGATTTTGGGTTCTATCTCCTGAAAGTCCTAGCTTTTTGTATTGCCCATCACAGCTTCAATATACAGAATTTTTAATCATATATTTTTTACTGCTCAGAATTCAAACAAACTAGTATTAATAGAAATCACTGGCTATTACAGAAACATCTTGTAACGCTTCCAACAGTTATTATTAGCAGCTAATCCTAGTATCTGCAAAATATTTACTTCTGATAAAACAAAGAACAAATTTTAAATGTAATTCTACTGCCTGGAAACAAAAAAGTTGTCAGTAAAAAGCTGTCAGAACTTACCTATGCAGTTCTTCAAGAGTGGGTCTATGGGTTGTGGATGATCAGAAATAGTGAATTTAACAGCAGTAACCACTGAACTTCGAGCGTATGAGGACCCTAATACAAAACGGAAGCGTGAATACACAAGACTAAAACAGAACAACTACAGAATCTAAATCATGCTCAGGGCCATTTATTCTTTTTAGATTTATAATACTCTTAAGAGCACCAAACAAGAAATGTTATTGATCACTAGTAATGCAATATGTAACTCAAGTAAACCTGTGGAGAAAACATTTCAAAGATGGGAAAAACACCATAACCTACAATAAGCATGTAATGTTATCTGCTACAGAAAATTTGAGTAATAAGCCTATCAGAACAGTTTATGTATGATCATACGTCAGCCTAGAAAAAAAACACCTCTCCCCTTAAAAGTAGAAGCACGTGAAGCATACGTGAATGCAGTTCTTGATACAAAACTGATTCATGAATTATGCACAATGATCCATCCTAATCCTTAAAAATTTCAGAATCCCTATCTGAAAAATAGGAATACACCAAATAATTTACACCAAAAGGTCAACATGTTGCAAATTGGTTGTCCCTTTTTCATTCATGCTCCTTCTCCTTTAAGTTTGTAGATCTTTCTTAAACATAATATTGTTAATTGAAACACCACAGTCTGAAAGCAGAACACAGAAGTAATTCTTTTTTATGTATGACTAGCAACTTCTAGTAAAAACTGAACCACCTAAGTTTCCATTGTTGAGTGGGGAGGAGCAAAACTTGAAGAGTTATCACAAAATTTAAGCACATCATTTGCAAAACTAGTTCAATTTATTGATAGACAACACAAAGCCATTTGCCTTAAAGCCCCAATATGTACATGCATTACTACTACTCACCTGATGCCAAGTATCCCTTGAGTCGTGGAAGCAGAGTCTCTGGGTCTATTAATGTAAGCTTGCCCAAGCATTCAGCAACAACATTCCTTGTGCCCTCTTCTGCACATTCACAGTGTTTCAGGAGTAAGGCCCAGATGTTCTCAACATATGGTTTGAGACCAATCACTGACGCAGAGCTAATTATTTCTTTCAAGGAATGAAGAAGAAGGTATTGCCTCTTAGGCTGACTAGTTATTTCTTGTAGGACAAACGGCAGATACTCAGGAAGATTGCCAACACTAATGCTGCCTAAGGCGTAAGATGCTGCCGATTTTACTTCTTCACTGGGAGAAGAGAATGCTTCTAGTATTACAGACTTCAGCTCAATTTGTCCACTTAAGTCAATGTGATGCCCAACTTCCCCAAGAGAAAGCAAAGCCAAAAGACGAATGGAATCTGTGGACCTTGAGTTCTTAACATCTTGAATGAACTGACCTACAACAGCTGGTCCTTCCTTAGGGCAGGCTCGAGTAAGGGCAGCAACACATTTGGCAATGGAATAGTAAGACTGCTTGTGAGTAAGTGCTGTGCTCTGTGAGTACACTGGACCCGTTAACATGCGCAGTAAATCCATATAGCCTAAATTATTTGTACCAGTCACAACCAAAGCTTGGAAAAATTCTAGCATGGCACTAAGTGCTCCACCCTGAAGTAGAGGTGATCTTACCAGCCCAATAAGTTCATTGAGAATGGAGCCACTGATCTTTGACAGGGAGGAAGGATATACTTTAGCCAGTGTTGTTAGAAAACTGATGGCCATCTGTGATACGTGCATATCACTTTCACTAATCAGAGGTGGAAGCTCGTCCAGGACAGCGTCAATCATGGCAGCTGTCAAGCTGTCACTGTAATTCTTAATTAAAATATCTAGAGCAGAAAGAGTGCCCAGTTTCAAAGCTCGCTGGTTCTTTCTCAAAAAAGAAGCAAGAATAGGAACTCCTTCCCCAAGGATTGGCCTCAAATCTATCTTCAAAGGAGAACCAGCAATTAATGTCATGGCCTTCACTGTAGTTAACCGAGTGATCTCATTCTTCAGTCTCTCTAGAAAGATCTGAAGTGTACTAGGCAGGTCTGTGCCTAGGCTGTCACCAAGGCTACAAATTATTTGACCCATGCAAGATATTGCCCTTTCTTTGACCTCCTGATCAATGTCAGCAGCCTTTAATCTCTTGATTGTACAAGTAAACAAATCTTTGATGTAAGGAGTAGCATCAAAGGAAGTAGGCTGATCTAATGGACGAATAACCTTCACAAGTTGTTGGGTAACCAAAAGTGCCTCTGATGTTATCTTGTAAAATGGGTCTCCAACACAAGCTACAACCGGAGGTACCAGTGCTTGAACATGAGGATGAAAGACTTGGGGAGAATGATTGCAGAGGATCACATACAAACAGGACAAAGCATCTATCTTCAGATTAGAAGAACTTGATTTGTCATTCAGTGAAAAAATTATTCCTGGAAGAAAAACAAAAAATATATTTTTAGGGTAGGCATTTATAGTCTCCTAAAACACTTCAAAATTTCCAAAGGCAAGCAGCTATCCCAACCCTCCTTAAATGCTTCCAAGTCCCTTTCGGCAATTTAATTCAATCAATTAGTTTTTAAGTTTCCTCTGCCAGAGGATATGGGCAATTTGATGGTTTGTGATGTATTTTCTTAATTATAAAGAAATTCTGAATGTTTAACATTTCCAACCTTACTTTTCATCGTTACTTCAAACTTCAACATTTTAAGTTTCAAAAGCTAAAAGATGGACAAGATTTTGCTCTTTTGGGATGAAAAAGAAGGCAGCTTGATCTTGCAATTAAGAAGAAAATCAACTCTTTTTTTGATACAGTAGGGAAAAAACATCAATCTTGGAGACAAGCCTTGTTTTCAAGAATATTGGAAATATGTCACTAAAATATGAATATGAATTCATATAGTAGTTGGTTATTTTGCCATTTTCTTTAAATAGAAGCACCACTTCAAGGCTTTTGCAAAAAGCAGTCAGGACTTGAATATTCTGACGTTTCAAAATTTCACATCCAATTTAATAAATATTTAAATTACTAACATGTTTCTCATACCTGGTACAAGTACAGGAACATGCTGTGTTAGGGCTCCAGGTAACACATTTACTAGTTCAGTCAGCATGTTAAAGCAACACTGACGAGTCTTCACACTTTTCTCCTTCATCTGTTTGTGCAAGGCTTTAACTATGTTGGGGACCTGTAATCATCACACATGTGTTAATTGATTCAATAGCTGGCGTTTCTTCCATTGTTGATTACTAGGGAGGATACAAAGAAATATGTGCATCCTACCCCTCTGATTTCTCTACAGAACTAGAGAAGTTATAAAAACATGAGGAAATAAAGAGTCAAAGTAATTGCTTGTAAAAGGTGATTTACATTAATAAAACTGTAGAGAGTAACAACTGAAAAGCCACCCAAATAATTCATTTAGAAAAAGTTTTTCAGCGTTATCTTTTTTATTCTGCAAATAAAATATATTGTAGCAAATCAAGTTTTATCTTGATCATTAGAGCTTATGTCTGCACACAGAATGCACAAAGTAACTATTTTGCTTTGGTAATTTGGTTGAATGACACAGGACATGCAACTTTCACAGGTGATGGTAAACAACTGAAATCAAATAAGGACATTTGCATGAGTCACTAATTTCAGTTTCCAAGACTGCTGAACTGTTCTGGGCCAGTTTTCCTCTCTATGTTAATACTACAGGAATAAACTATAACCCGAACATGGAGAAAGCATGATAAGGCACATGTAATGAACTATCCTCATGAACATAGTGCAACTTCAGTATGTCTTCTCAAAGATAACAAAAATCTTGACAAATAACCTGACTCTGAAGCATTGTCAAAGGTGTCTCTCCTTGTTCCATTGCATCAGGATCACAAAGCCAACTTTGCACAGGTCGAGTTTGTTTTAAAAGAGAAAGATATGCATGAAAAACATCTGCTTTGACATTCTCTTCACGTTCTTTGAATCTGGCTATTAAAGCAGGAGATACAGTTTTGTAGAATTCTGGAAGCATTTCATGTCGTGTGCTAACCACAGCATCCAGACATTTAGCAGCTGCACGCCTCACTTTCCAGCTCATGTCATCATCATCACTATATTCATCATCGCTCCCTTAAAAAAATAAATTATGCATAAGTTCAAGTCTAGACAAGCAAAGCACCAAGTTTCATTTTAAACAATTAAAAAAGAAGACAGTTGGGTTCTTTGCGTAAGACACGTGAAGAAATAGGTTCAGAAGTATGTTAAAAGCCATACATATAAGAAGCCTTCTAAACGGCCTAAGTTGTAATTCTTTGCCAGTTTCTTCACGCTGGTCTTACACATGTACCAATTTAAACTGCAAATACGACAAGGAGGTTCCCATCATATTTATAGCCTGACTGATGATTTAAAGCATATTCCTCTTTATTTGTGACAAAAACTACAATGCAACAATGAATACTAGCTGATCAAGATTCAGCAAATTATTGTTTGCTTCTTTCTTTTCATACACTGCCCCCAAAAATAACAACAAAAAAATAAATAATACAGACTTCTCCGGTGTAAAAGCAACAACTATGCAGCTCATTCTTTCCTTAAATAACGAGAATGTTATGCTCTCAGTTTAGATTACTTGTGTGTCCAAGTTTTCATAAAACTTACATATGGCAATGTTTTGCCACCGTATTAACAATAGATATGTTACACCTTTCAGTCTAAAACAATTTTTTATCCTACAGAAGAACACTAGGCAATTTTCAATCTACTCTGATTTTATGCATTAGGTAACAATATTATATTATAGTGGAAAGTAGTGAAAAGCCTTTCCCGTGCTGTATATGTATTTTCAATTCATGAACTGATGTTCTTCTCACTTTAGTTATATCATGCTATCCTCTTCTGCCTTTTTCCACCTTTCAAGTGTTTTAAAGTATTTATCTTGTATTTTGCGTTCACCCTTGGAATTACTGATCTCGAGCAACAATATCCTATACTTTTATTTCAGGAGGTAAGTTCATAAAGTATGTTTAAAAGAGGTACAAAAATTGAACATGAAAGAATACAAGTCACTCAAATGCTGGTACTTAGTAGCAATACCACCTATACCAATTTTCTCAGGTACACGATCACAAGCTCACCCTCACCCCCAAACCGACAAGAGAATATACCTTGATCATCATCATCACCACCATCTGCATCCATAGCATTTTCATCTTCATCCTCATCATCATAATTGTAATTAGGATCATACGTAAGATATTTAAGACAAATGTTTATAATAGTAGATACATGGGGATAAACTTCTTTAGGACACCTGCGCAACACAAAGTACAATCAGTGTGAAATTACTTTGAGGAACTAAAATATTCCTAAAAGACTTCATACCACATACCGTACTTTGGAGACACTGGTCAACACAACTAACATCAATGCACCCATCTGAATTACAGCAATTCCGAGAGGACAATGCTACTGTGTAACAGGATCTGCTAGATGGGAAGGTTGCAAAGGACTAAGATATGCCTCTGGATACTCATTTTTTTGTCACCGTAATTAGACACAAATATACTCCCCACCTCCTGTTTGCACCAGTAACAATGGCACAGTAGAAAGTTTATAAAGTACAGATGTAACACACTGTTTAACAGTTAAGTTACAAGGTAGAGTTATAGGAACAATTCCAGCTCAAAGCTTGCAAAAATATTTTCTGTGAATGAGATTGTCTTTTGATAGCTTACAATCCAATGGCACACTATTAGATTTGAAAGCCTGAAATAGGTACCCATGACTTACCTCCTAACAAAAGATTCAAAGGCTTGAATGCAATACTCTCGCAGTTCATCATCATCTACATTACAAAACTTTACAACCAAAGGAATTATTTTCTCAAGATATTCACCTGGTAAGAGAAAAAAAGATCAGCTAAGTAATTACTCTCCCCTAAAAACTTTAAAGTAAAAGATAATTTATAAATTTTTCTTACCTATTCTATGACCTGCTTGCCTACTGATAGCAGCAATACACTGTATATAGGTCCTAGTTGTTGACATGGAATCATTTTTAGACAGCTCTGTCAACAGATGTTCAATGAGGTCAACAAAAACCATATTGCCACAACTCATAACCAGGTGACCAAGAGCAATGATGGTTCTTTTCCTCACAGCAAGTCTTGGGCTGGTCAGCTGGGGGAGCAGACAGGTCAGAATTGAAGGATGGAAGTTAACAAGCAGTCCTCCTTGCCTTAAAACAGACAAAACACAAACTCAAACCAATTGAATCTAGATAACTTTGTTCATATACTGTACAACAATCTTTAAATATTCCCCAAATATCACAAAGATTCCAATTAATTATTTAAATTTAAGTCTTAGGAACTTTTTAAAAGAAGAAATTAGTTTAAAATATAAATAGATAAATATAAAAATAGACATTAAAATAAGCTTAAAATTACAGTGCTTAGAAGATTAAATAATAACGGAATCATTCTATAAATCAATTATCTTCAATACACTCATTTTTTTCCTACATTAAGTTTCACCTGTACCTTACCACATTATTTCGTATAACTTCAACAAATTTAATTTTACATTTGGAAGACTTAAGTTCAAGCTTTAAGGAGTATTTATCAGCATTCACCAGCACATTAAACGAGGGATGTTTACCTGCTCAGCATATCAGCCATGATATCCAGTGCCTCCAGTTGAACAGACACATCTTCCTGCTTGGCTATAGCACTCGTGAGACGCCCTGTGATCTTTTTGCAAACATTAGCTGCTAATGCAGAACCTGAAAGTACAACAAAACCTCAGCATTTTCATAATATTAAAAGAATTGAGTTTTTAACATCAGAGATCATGTTTGTGACTAGGGAAAGCAACGTAATCTCAGCATAAAGAAGCTTTTCCCTCCCAACAAAACAAGCCTGCACAGTCAGTTTGTTTGTTAATGTCATGTGTGCTCTGCATTAGACTATTTATGTACAAACATACATATTCTTGTCCCAAAAGGCATATACAACAGAAAGGACACTGCTTTTGGTAGGGCAAGCAATGGAAAGTGAAGGCCAAGACAAGTCTAGAGCAATAAATGAAAGCACTATAGGTAAAAATGGAGAAATACATTATATGGTAAGGAGAACCATAGAAGAGCCACCTCTAAATAGCTGTATAATGAAAAAGCAAAATAAAATTATTTTGCACAAGAAGCTTCTTAAGTAGTAAGTGCCTGAAATACTGCTGAAACATTTGAGAAAGGGGGGAAAAATGGTATACCCAAAGTATTTTAAAATACAAGAAAAAATGTCTTTACAACAACTCTATAGTTCCCCCTTCCTCAAACTGTCTAATGTTGTTTCAAGTAATTATGAGAAGGAACTCACGTCATGGTAACAACACAGTTAGCATTCATCTTCACATGCATGAAATTTTTTTAGTCACACTTTGAGAATCTCAATGTGAAATTAATACCATTCCAACCTACGTTAAGTCTGGTTTATATGTATTATGGTTAATTCTTAACTAAAACTAAAACATAACAATTGGACAGTCAAATGTCTTACCACAAAGGCTAAGAAAAAAGGCAACAATCTATGTTTGAGTTGAGAGAAAGAAATAACATGTTTATTTTTATGTTAGGAATCTTAATTATATTGAAATATTTTTCTGCATTTTTGTTTGAGCTTCACCTCCACCCAAAAATGTCCTTTCATTTTGTGTAGGCAAACAAAAGTGTAAAAGCTTAAAGCAATTTACTTAAAATTAGTTCCTTATGTAAAGTTTATGCATCTCACTACTGCTTGATAAAATCCAGATTTACATGTCAACTTTCAAAAGGGATATTAAAATCAGAGTTCTTTTTTTAAGAGACCTCAGTCTCTAAAAATGTCATTTCCAAAGCCTTTTTAATCACTTCGCTATTCTCATTCCTATTCTACACTGATATCTGAAAAGCACTTGAATAAAAAGTAATGCCATTAAGTGATGAGCTGTTCAACATTAATATCTCTTTTGAAGGAAAGACTGCCTTCATTTAAACCTGCAGGTAAGCATTTCAGTAATTCACAAGGTACTTTCCAAAACACTTCCCAGAAACTGAGACAAGAAATCAGATGGTTAGAGAAAAACACCCAAGTTATAATCAATTTTAAAATGTACTATCAATCAAAAAGCAAGATGAGATTTAGCTATTACTACAGCCCAGAAACACTCCAACAGGCAATTATTAAAATAGAAGTTTTTAACTCAACTTGTTATACCAAAGTTCATATACTCTAAGTTTGTTTTCCACATTAATTCAAACCTTCAGTAAAAAAAAAAAAAAGTGTTTAAACTTTCAGAGTAAAATCTAGCAATACAGTCAGAGAAGAAGAAACTAAAAGGATATTTGTGCCATACATTTTTCCCCTAACAGAAATTAGTTCCAGTGCTAAATGAACTGAATCCTCTTCACTAAAAAACCAGGCTTATGTATTTTTTTTGCATTAGTAAATTACATAACCAGATAAAGCCTTGAGTACAAAATGCCTTACCACTGGAAGCTGGGGGGAGTTCTCCAATCACAGTTTTAAGACCGATGCTTGAAATGTCACGTAACTGTTCTTTGTCTGAGAGCATGTTTGTACAGAGAGTATCTACAATGGTCTCCACTTGATACTCCTTCACTTTACTCACCAAAGGTCCAAGGCTGTATAAAGAGAAGAAAGGTTTTAAATCTACAACCCTAAATAAAACATCTCATTTTATTTCAGTATTTTGCATTCAAGTCACAAACTTAAGGTTGGGTTTGGTAACAATACAAAGCAGAATTTTAAAATCTGAAAACCTCCAGTTGGTTGGGTTGATAATCCATCTCCATAAATCTAGTAACAAAATGTTCATTTAGTACCTGGTTTTTATCTGGTGCTGGAAATGGTTTTTGCATGACTTTACTGCTTCGGTCTCAAAACGAGAATCCCTCTTACTTCTCATTTAATGACAAGATTACCTAGGCAGAGCCTTCAGTTCACCTGCTTGACCATCAGTTCTTGCTTAGTTGCTTACTTCACAGACAAGTAAGCAACATTCTTAATTACTGCATCTTTATTCTCTACAACACTTGGATTCAATCTGATACATACTGAGACTCCTATTCCTGAGAGTGCCTTCTTATTAGAATGCAAACACTAAAATAAAAAAGTGACTTGGCATATCCTCCTTCACACAGATTACAAGCACCACATACATGCAGCACAATTACACTTCCTCTGTCCTCTGAACTGTGAATTTTTAGTTATTCCATTTTGAGAATTGCAATGATTTTGTATTCCTTTGTCAAATGCTCTCAATTTGTTCAAAATACTAAAACTTCAGATGTCCTAGTAAAGTCTAGTCCGTTGCTAAGAACTATAGCATTCTTCAGCACCTTTCTAGCCCTATCACCAAATTCCAGCATCTCTCCATTCTTAATGTTCTGTTCCAAAAGGAGTTATAAAAAAATCCCAAGCCTTTTATTGCCTCTGTCCTCCCATTCACCTGCTAAAAACCTCTGTAACAACTCCAAGAACTTACTCTTTTTCCTACTACCCTTCCAACTTCTCACTGAAAATTTGCTTATCTAATTTCTCCCTATTTTAAAACACCTGCCTTTAGCCAAAGTATCTGAGAAATTACCAAATTATCAAAATTTTAAAACTGTTCAGCTACAAGCTAGTTTGATACACAAGGGAAATATTTATCCCTCCTCCCCAAAACCAGTCTTCTAAAGCACTTTCCAAAAACAAAACAAGCTCAAGACACTTGAAAAAATGTGGGAGGAGAACTTCCAATTTCATACATTTGATTGTACAATGTAATAATGGAGTTGACAGGTCATGATACAGAACTAAACCCTGATTAACAAATATCAGTATGCAGGACTAGTAAAATTAATAAATTCAATACATCTTATTCTAATTGTACCAGATTACTGGAAAGAAACTATCTGGATTCAGAGTACTTCCTTTCAGACCCTAGTGGTTATAGTGGAGGGAAAAAACTCTTCGGTTTTATTTCATAAGATTTTGAAAATTAGTCTGAATTAAGAGCAAATTTCATAATAAAAAAGTGCAGGCATTAAGTAAAGTGTACAAAACTAGAGGAGGGAGGAATGATCTATAGGCAAACAGAAATTCTGCCCAAGCTAGTAGGATCCTAAGCTCTCAGTGAAGGCTATTATTCCAACAGTAGATAGTTCAAAATCCAAATTAAGTTATGCCACTCAGTCAAAACCTTACTTTATGCTTAGTACTTAAATTATCTAATTCCTACAATACTGTAACAGAAAAACACACAAGTGTATTAAGACAGAAAAATCACTTGAGTCTTTATCAAATGGAGAGTTCCTTTCTTAATTTATATGTAATGAGAGACACGCACAAAATCCAAGATGACACTGAAACGTTTTTGGTTGGTTGGTTTGTTTTACTTGAAATGGCTCCAGAGCTTTAAGTCTAACTCTCCAAGAACACAGCTGGGCCCTGATTTCACTACTAGCTAATAAAACTGTCAGCCAGGCAGTCGTCAGGGAACATACACGTCACAGATCACTATTCAGAAGGAAAGGCTCAAGGCTGTGGCATTCAGCCTAAAGGCAGTGAAGTTAGTTCAGGAGCTTAGTACTGTACTTATCATGACTACAGTTCTCATCCCACACACTTACTGCCTTGCTGGTACTGTTGAGGAAAAGGCAAACCCCTGCAGTACTTTGACAAGGATGTGCCGCTTAATTCCAAAGCGCTGTTAACAAGTAAATGTTACATTGTATCAATTTAAACTATTGACCTATAACTGCATTGCATTATCTCACCATATTTAATGTGACTTGTCACCTTGGACCATACTGAATTAACTTTTGAATGTATAGTCAAACCTAACAATAACTTCGTTCATTTTAGTCAATTTGACAATCCCCACATCTGGTCAGAGCAAGTTCCATTTGAGAGTTCATGGGGGAAAATAGGAATGGTTTGGTCAAACATAACTTAGGAGCACCTACAGGGTAAATCCAAGACCACATGATCCAAGTTCCTCTGAAACTCAGTTTTCTCATCAGTCTCAGAGCATCAAACTTTCCATTCATCCTGCTACAAAGGTTCCCAAACACACTCTGAGCTCTCCAAACCTTCCACACTTCTTGCTTCACAAGTCCTCTCAGTCATTCCAAAGTCATCCCTCAGCACCATACAGCTCACACCACAGGAAAACTGTAGGCCCTCAAAAAACAATGCTGCACCAAATCTGATTATCTGTATTCTCCACTCCTGAAAAAAAAAGAGGAGTGTTCTGACAGTTCAAACTAAACTATTAGAGCTATTAGAGCTATTGCAGGGAGTAGGACCGGAAGACTAGGCTCAGATCCAGAAGACTTCAAATCAGTAATTCCAGATGGATTTAAAAGGGCCAAGATCTATGATCTTCACTCTTGGATAGCTAGCAGTCATGGCTCTATGCAGTAGGACAAATCCAAAACTCATCTTCCATTCCAAAACCTGTTGTATGTACCTCGCTGCTGTTACCCTTCTTTCCCAAGTCCAAGAATTCACAGTGGCAAGAGCTAATTTTTACTGAAAAATGGCCAGCAGAAGCAAAAGGCAACAAGCAAAACATGCAGACAGAGGAGGACACGGACAAGCAAGCCTCTGTATTCAAGCACTATGCATGACTTACAGTATGATAGTAACCAGAGTAAGGTTCAAAGTTTTGGCATGGTCTGTCACCACGTCAGGCAAACTTAAGGAACTTCTCTTCCAATGGCCATTCTCATAACACCTTATGCCCATGAACTCAGAACACTATTTGCACTTGAGGCACAGCATGTAGATTAACACCCAGGAATATGCAATCCCCAAAGCAATCACACCTAGCACTCTTCATGCCTTCCTTCACAAACTGTAACCTGCTTGGTTTCTTTCTTTCCTCACCCACCCTACCTGTGTGGTAACACCTGTTGGAAATACTGGCAATGTGTGTGTGGGGCCAGGGAGAGGGGAAGAAAGTTGCAAAGGCAAAACATATCGACCAAAACCGTGATCTGAAATATCACTTACAATTAACTCAGTTTGTTAATGCACAAAACTTCGAACTAATTTGACATTAGTCAAACTAGGCCATAGGCATATGTAATTGACACATTATGATCACACCAATGCCACAAACTAAGGAAGTTTGCAATTTAGTCATTTTGCAGAGTATTTTATGGAGATGTAGAGATAACTTTAAAATAAAAACACAAGAACAACTTTGGGTCAACACTACTAGAAGATATAGCATATGGGTAATCTCAAGAGGACTGTTAATTGAGATACTGACTGGTAGCTAATCAAAGGCATAAAAAGAAGCCCTTTAAGTGCACAGAGATGAAGATGTAATGGAATGTTTTCTCACTTGCTTCTGCAGAACCTGCAGAAATGAACACCTCTGAGAGAGCACCCTTCATTAAAAGCAGTCAAACCTCAGGCCCTAACCAGACACTGCCCTTTAATTTAGGAAAAGGGCACTGTACTGGATTCTTCAGATTCCATTAAACCATCTCCACTGCTACTAAACCCCTGAGAGTAGGGGTTCAGAGGACCATATCCACAGTCCAATCTGGTCATTTTACAGCTTTTATAATGTTAAATTAATAATGCAATGTTATTAAAATAAAGGCTTTTTCCCTCCAACAGATAAACTCCTGATAAACCTGTACACGAGCATTTGCGAACACACAGATTATTACCAGGAATTACCTCTGAGATACAATTACATCAAGCCATCCCTGACTGCAGTTGAAACGTTTTCTCCAGTTGCTCAAAAAGCTCACAGTTTTCTCCTCATCTTGATTTCACTCTTCAGCCAAGCTTTCCCATCTCAGTGATTCATTGACACATCTATATTTACAGCTTCTCTTCAAATACACACCACTGTCAGTCAGTGGCTACTCACAGTGCTGTTGCACTCGTCTAACCTTGGAGCATAGTAAACTGTTTTGCAAGCAGCGCAAGCATAAATCAACTAGAATAGAAACCAAAACAATTCCAAGCTACAATGACTGTCCACAACCAGAGAAATTCCCTGGGCATTTCAGTCAACACACTACAGTATACAAGGTTAGAATCTGTAGAAACCATTTCTCATCCGTAACGCTGTCTGCTCCAATAGAAGTACTGCAAATAAAAGCACTAGGAAAGATGAACAAGCACATGTACAATTATGGAAGCAAATTCAAATAAATCTGAGTAACAATATCCTTTCAAAAATATTCAAAACCTGCAGAGTAGCAATACTAAAGGTTTGCTTTTGATCAGTATGGAGTTTGCTATCTGGTTGGTGAAATTCCAGGTGGCAATGTCATCCCTCCTCCCATGGCCAGAAAGGTCACGTCTTCTGTTTTTGCAGTTTACAATTGCTTGTGCAACTCTACAAAAATACAACTTCCACATCCTAGAGACGTGCAGTTGACACTATCTTTTTATACATTGACTCTGATAGACCAGAAGCTGGTCACTACCAAAAAACTCTTGGTTCATAAGTGAAAGCATCGCAAGTTATAGTAAGGACTTATTTTAAACCTGAACTGCTGAACAACTACTAAATATTTTGGATTTAAAGAAGTTTATTCTTCAAATGTAACCTATGAGTAAAATAATGACAGACAAGGTCAGTCAATTAGATTCATCTCACTTAAGTACAGAAAGCATTTTTTGCTAATGTTTTAAAGATGACCAAGCCACTTAAATGACAACCAGACAAACACAAATTACAGTTTCTAGAAAGTGTTAAACTGTGTTTTTCCTGAGTCAGCACCTTCAGTCCTATTTACTTAACCTATTAGTTAAATCAAGCAGACACACCAATTGTGAAGTAAATTTTAAAAACGGATTGCCTCAAGCTTTTCTGGCCTTCAAAATCAGTAGATACCACTTACAGATCTATTATTAGTCCTAGATTACAAACTAAGCTTATCAGAAGTTGAAAATAAACTATAACCTTTTTTTATAAAATCAATCCTGACTACCAAGTTTTTGCACTTGAAGGCTGTTTTGGATATTGTTTTAAGTGCTCTTTGATCTTTTCATTTTCACTAACCAATAACCTGTGTCCAGTTTCTCTCAGTCAAAAGCTCATTCAGTTGCCTATGGAAATAAACAATAACACGTTATCTCCTTTAAGTTGCATACATTTGAAAATAAAGGTGCTTATAGTGTAGCTCCTTATCTGGAAGACTGACACCAACTCAATCAATTATAGACTCAAGCTGGCATATTTTAATAGCTATCAAATAAGCCCATTTATTTACAGGGAGGAGTTAAAATTCACAAATAAAAAAAAAAAAAAAAAGAAAACCAAAACATTATTCAAATCAGCAGTATAGTATGATGTGCTGTAGTGTATTATCCCAGCATTCAAAATGCTTTGAAGCTGCTGAACTGGATGAGCCACACAACAGCCAATACATGCATCATCCTGTTCACACTAATGACTCAAGAATCACAGCGTCAGGTAGAGTTACTTATATACATCACTGCCCAGAGAAGTCACACTGGTAAATGCAGAGAAATTACAGTATCACAAGGGAGGAATGACTGAAAGTATTTTAATTCCCCCACGGATAGATACATGAGTGCATCTGGGTTCTTACAGGTTTCAGGAAATGTTTCACAGTGTGAATCAAGAAAGATTTCTATGCGTAGGTTTAAGTGGCAGAACAGCAAACCACAGAAAATTGCTCAAAAAGAGAAGCAGTTCATCTTTAAACTGCAATACTGAACATATGAAACAATTAAGGTGAAATTCAGGCCAACAGAACATTACCAGCACTATCATCAATGAAGAACAAGTCCACTCAACACAATACCTATGTTCAGACAAACTACACTGCTTGACTAATCCAGATGCACATAATCCTAAAAAAAATCTACCGGCAGTAAAATGACTACTGCTGTAAGATGTACACAACACCGTGCTGTAAGAACGTGCAATAGCATTTTCTATAGTAGCTAACTGTAAAACAGCCTATGACTACCAGATGAAGCAAAAACCATTCCTGCAGAAAAAATGTAGACAACATGAACAGATTTAAAATTTTACATATAATTCACAAAAACAACATAAACAACCTGCAGTTACTGGTGTAGGTTGCATCTACGGTCTGCAAGAGAAGTTTGACAAATAAAACCCCTTTCTCTTTTGTAAGGACAAAGATTAGAACAGACTGACTTTTACTTCAAGAGCACTAAGGCATTACTTTTCATTTTTATTCAGAAACGAACTGGACAATCATCTTGCAAGATAGCTACCCAAATATCCACAAACTCAAAAACTCACTTCTGCTAAAAGAACAACATGTTTTATCCTGCCTCAAATCAGTTTAATATAACTGAAAAGATCAGGAACAAAATCATTAGTGTGCTTTGTATAGATAAGAAAAAACAAGTTCATCAGCATTTTAACCAATAGAGCCCTCCCTACTCAAGCAGTGGAAAAGGTAAAACCAGGAACACTCCTTACTTGTTGCTCCTCTTGCCTAAAAATAAAGTTTTATGGTTGCTCTGAGTTGTTTTAAATCTGCTGTGTTCAGTGACCTCAAGAATCAAACCTTGGAAGAGTGATGCCTACCTCCTCTGCCATTCAGAGCATTTACATTCATCTACCTGTAAAGGAAGCTCCCCCAACAAGCTGCAAAACTTTTCTCCCTTCCTCAAGAAAAATCTATCTTGAATACAGATTCAAAGGTACATAGAGTTGTCTTAAATCCTTTTTCTATAAGAGAGAGAATCTATTCTTTAATGGGTCATCAAGTACCAGTCTGATGAAAGTTACCGCTGATAGTCTCTAAAGTTTGCCATAGAATTTAAACTGTGTTTAGATCTCTCTTAGTTTATGCTTTCCTCAGTTGAAAGTGCCAGAAAATCAGTAACAGAAATACACAAGAATACAAAATATTTAAAATCAAAAGTCAAAAAAAATAGCTGGCTGAACATAACTTCCCAATGAATCAGGCTGTAGTAGATGGAAGACTTTCAATCAGCTTGAACTGTCTCAAAATAACAACAGTTTAATAGTGTTCATCCCCTCCCATCCTTCACCCTCACTAATGTTTCTATCAAAGCTCATCTGATTGTAGCAGAGCACTAAGCCAGAAGAAAACTAATTCCCCAAACCAGTCTATAACAAAACTAGATGAGAAGCAGTGCAAGAAAAAGGACAAGGAGGACAAGAACAGCAGAGTAGCATTAGCTCAGACTGGTTTACAACTGTCATGAACAATACTGTGAGTATAAGCTGCCTTAAGACAGTTGTGGGGTTTTTTTTTTATCCAAAGCACATCTGCACGTGATTGGGATGCAAAAACCAAAAAAAATTGATAAGTTCCACAATGTATACCTTCCTTAACATTATTTGGATTCCTTGAAAACACTCCAAACTTGAAAGAGATCCTGCCACATTAATTAAATCAAAAAATTTTATCAGTATATCAAAGTAAACTTTAAAAATTGAAGAACTGTTAATAAAATTGGACATGTGCACACACACAGGCCTCTCTTTTCTCATCCTCTTCTGTTTGCAATCTTTCTTTAATGTTTCAATAAGTATTACTTGTACTTTAGACCCTAAATTCTAACACTGCCATTAAAGATTGTGATATATAAACTGTGTCTATGTGCATTAATCTAAACGTCGTGATAACTATAGGATGTACATTGAAAATGACTACTGCATGTGTGCTGTAACGAAACTTTTCCACAAAATGCTATTTCACACAAAGACAATTCTAAGCCTGAGCCAAGTTTCATAATAATATACTCTTCTAATTGAGTACAAGCAATCTGTTTCAAAGTCAAGGAACTTAAGCTGTACCATATGGAATTTAAGACTTTTGAGAAGTTTGAATTAAAAAGAAACATGGTATTTTGTGTTGTTTGTTAAAAAAAGGAGTGGGAGAACACACATTTTAACAACACTGCAACCCTGGTGAGAGTAGTAAAAAAGTAGTGACAATTATATTGCTAAATACTGCTAATATCAAACTTTGGCTTGAAACTTGACCTTCCTACACTAATTTCTCTGAGCAGGGTTTTGGTTACCATTACTTAAAATATCTCAGAAGCTGAAGCAAGCACTGTTTCTAATTACCTAAGCAGAGGTACACAGAGGTTTTTTCTGCTTTGGTAGTCTGACGTGGCAAACTGTAAAGAATAACAAGCTGAAACAAACTCAGCTAGTCACCACGTGAAGCTTCTCAAGCTCTTATGTAGCAAACTTACTTCAATCCACGCCTCATGGAATACAGGTAGTGTAAATAGAATATAAAAAAACCTGAGCTCACAAACAAGAAACATTCTCAGAAACACTAGAACTTCTTAAGAGAGGACCTCTTTCAAGGGCACAAAAAGTCAGAATGGCCAAGAACAGAAAGTCATAATAAACGTGGCACCTCTTCAAAGGCTGCTCTGGAAAAGTCACACCACATGTAAAATGAAACAAAGTGAGGACGAGAGGGTAGTGAAGCAACAGAAGTCTCTGAACTGAAAGTAACTGCACCCTGACCCCATAAAACATTTACGGTTCCTGTAAAGCTTGTAAAACCATTAACATAGTATTCTGAATGTAAATGAAGAGGAAAGCTCCATATTTGATAACCAAGACCACATCTTTACCTTTTTGTGTTTTCATCTCTGCTTGAAAACTACTCAAATACTACAATTCTTCCCCTACACATCATCTAAGTTCTCACAGTCAAATACCAGTGTGGCAACTACCACTGATTTATAAACTTTTTGTATCTATTTAGCATTCAAGAATTATCAACAAAGAACAAGTGTGTCGCTCAAATACTTTCAGCAAGGGCTGCATATGCTATTTGCTGTCTGAAATCTCAAATGTTAATCCCCAATGTCAACAAAAGATAGTTCCGTAAGAAACAACAATTAAAGCAAGTAACCTCTAAGAACAAGGGTTCCTTTGTAGACATCAGTTTCACAATTATTTTGTGTAGCAGTGGTAGTTCTGGGTTTTTCAAAAGTACTTTATGTTGTTCAGTCATCATACAATTCTTTACATCACAGAAAAAAAAATACCTACCATTTGACAGCCAAGTTTTGCACCTCACCATTCTTATCTTCCAGTAATTTCAAAATCATCTTCACCACCTTTCTTTCACTGTCATCATCCAGCTTGATAGAATCTTTCTGTAGTTCCGTCATCAAGTCATTAGTAGCCATAAACCTGAAATAAGATGGTCAGATAATTATTGCTAAAAGGAGGTAAGTTTTTCACAGTGCTCAGGGTTCAAGATTCTCCAGTTTCCACCATTCACTATCAAATAAATCACTTTTAACATTGGATTACTGTTGTCCGTTTTGTGATGCAAGTAGAATTTATAGAATAGAAAGCTGTAAAATTTTATTTGGAAAGGACAATAACTTTGAGTTAGGTCATCATCTTTGTCTTCCAGTTTATTTATATTATATTCCATATGATCTCCACAGAGAAAAACTGACACTTTCACAGATTTTAAATAGTCCTTTCATGAGCTACGCTAATCTTGTAAAAAACAAGCTTTTTATAAAAACTTTGTTAAAATAATTATTCTCTGCTCTGAGTTTCTTTTAAAACAAATTTTAACCAAGAAGAAAAATACAGTTTCTCAAATATTCTCCCATAAACTTCAATTAATGGAGGAATAATAGTTAAACTTATGTTTCACATGTTTTTCATTTTCTTGCCCTGTACAGACTAGCTTGTTTACAGTCCAGAAACGAGCTGATCACATTTACCCATCCCACAATCCAGTGTGTCACAGTAAAGAACAAAATTAATTCTCAAGAAATCAAGCAAATAAAATCATCTTTCATGGCAACTAATTTACTACTTAATAACAGTCATATCCACTAATAGAAGAATATACTGAAAAATGACTTTCCAAAAATATTGCTTTTATGCCCTTTGTTTCTTTTCCTTCTGATGATTGCTTTCAAATCTGTTCTTCTTTTGTAAGTGCCCTCTCTTCTCAGCAGCAGCAATACAGATGTATTACTCAAGTACAAATCCCACAGGCTTTGGTACCAATAGTGACCTCCATTCCAAGCCCCTGATAACAGGGGTTCGTAGTTAGACAGTTGAGAGTGGCATTTGGACTTCAGGCACATCAGCCTCAAGCAGACATCACTTGAGCTCAGGTCTTACTTAGAAGGTTATCTCTGCAGCCTGACATGCCAGATACTGCTTTTTGCATTGAAAATTAAAGCCAAGAGTCTACACAATCTTAATATGCATCACAAATGCCAGATGCTTGCCGTCACATAATGGACCTCAACTTGTCCTGTCTTTTAATACAGTAATTCCAGTCTAATAGTCTCAAGGCATTTCTAAGATAAGACCCCATTCGTTTTTCACTCACTCCAACAGTCCCACTGAAGCAAGTTTGCAGTCTAACAGGAAAGAGATGTGCACATAAACAGGCTGTGAATGCAAACAGTGTTAATTTTAAGCACAGTCAAGAAAAAAAAAACACTAGGTAAGTAAAGGTAATGGACAGGTAGGATGGAATTTAAGGATATATATGAAATTACAGCGTATAGAACACTCAAAAATTGCCTTCAAGTTACTGCCAGTATTTATCTCCTTTTCTTCAAAACTAGCTCCTCTCATTTGCTTGGTCAATACCTCCTATTCCTAGCTTTAGGAGTGCACATGCACTCATCATTTACTTGTCAGTTCCTAAACCAGGCAGAGTTTGTGCATCCTCAGTGCTTCAGCAGCCTCTGCACTCAATTTCAATGGGATGGGGAGGTCAAATAACTTTAGTTTCAAGTAGCTGGTATTAGAAACGTAGTTTTGAGTAGTTTCAATGTGACTTTTAGTCACAACTGCTGCTTCTGCGGGCACATCAAACTTTCCCTGGAGCCAAGCAGGCAGAGCGTCAGCAGTTCCTCACACCCAGTACTCAGAGAAGTCATCCACCTCCTCCCGCAGCCTGATGTAAACTGCCACCTTACAGTACTGCCCTGTTTAAAATTTAAGCCTGAATTTCCAAGCAGACAATACACCCACAAGTCTGTTTCTCTTCCAGGAAGTACTTCCAAAGAAGTACATCTTCCAAGTTTGCACTGGACAAGTCAGTTTATCCAAAAAAAAGGAGGAAGAAATTTTACAGTAAAGTGGTTACTTGAACAGTGGTTTATACTCAGCTCCCTGGTATCAACAAGATAACTGCTCTATGCCTCTTCAAATACACATAATCCAATAGTAAATGCACATAAAATTACTAAAAGTAAAAGCTATATGAAACTTTATCCATTATGCAAATGTTATTGCATAGCAGCCAGTTTGTAAAGGTCTATCGTCATGCATTTTTTATGGTTTGTAAAGTTAGATTTTAGTCTATTTTTTTTTTTAATATTTGAGAATTTCAAAGTTGTTCAAAGCTCCTAGAACAGATAATTTCTAAGTGTGCTCTACTAAAGGAACTACAAAACAAGGTTTAATTACGTGCAGTTGGGGCGAAAAAAGTGTCTTCTACAATTGCATTTGACAGGTGTAGCCTAACCCTTATATGGAGAAAGTTTCTAACTCATAAAAATCACTATGACTTTTTCTAAGTCATCCTCCCCATAAGCATAAAATGGAAATATGACTTAATCACAGAAACAAATTAGGACGACAAAAGCAAAAAATCTTCTGTAACACTCGGAGAAAAAAATGTTTGAATCTAGTTTCAGATTTAAAAATATACTGACAGATACTGACAGATTTAATTTTTTAAAAATCAGGCAATTCTTGATTGTCTTGTTTCAGACTAAACACTAATTTTTTGTACTTCCAAAATTTCTAGTATGAACCATCCAGGTAATTCCAATCTGAAAGAAACTGACATGAAAAAACCCATAAATATATCACATTTGTGTCCAGTTTGTCAAAAACTAACAGGATTACTCAAAACCCAACTCTATGTTAATTTAATCACCACCTCTGTTTTCCTTTAGATTTTAATATATTAACAAGAGAGTTGTTTGGATGTGAACATGTACTTTAACCATAAACTAAATACTGTAATGCTGCAGCAAAACACAAATCACAAGTAAATTTTATGTCTTTTCCCTGTATGTATTCATGTACCCTCTTTGACAAATAAAGGCTTCAAATGTGAATTTTTAGTTGCACACAATACAAAAAAATGTAATTATTTTTAACCTAATGCTTTCCTAAAGCTACTGTGCAGATGTATTTTCTGTGCTGTTCTTTAACAGCTTACTTATATTATCTCACTTTGATACTTTACATATTACCTACTATTAATTTATTACAAAGCAAACAAATGATCCAATAAAAAGTAGTGCTCTTGTGACACCTACTAAACTCAAAATTAAATGCTAGTCCTGTCCCCATAAGACTTAACTCGAGTTCCCTCTTTGGATGCACAAAAGCAGTACCAAACTACGCAAGGACTACAAGAACTTTCTGTGTACAAGAGGGTCTGTTTACAAGATGCAGCATCCAGGAAGGATGTAAGCTGCTTAGAATCACAGAATTTTTAGGATTGGAAGGCACCTCTGGAAATCATCTAGTCTAATCCCCTTGCCAAGGCAGGGTCACCTAGAGCAGGTTACACAGGAACATATCCAGGTGGGGTTTGAATGTCTCCAGAGAGGGAGTCTCCACGACCTGCCTGGACAGCCTGTTCCAGGGCCACCATCAACAGATTTCACAGAATTCTGTGAGTTGGAAGGGATCCCCAAGGATCATCAAGTCCAACTCTTAAGTGAATGGTCCATACGGGGATTGAACCCACAACCTTGTTTTTTTTAGCACCATACTCTAACCTACTGAGCAACACAAAGAAGTTCTTCGTCATGTTGAAGTGAAACTTCTTGTGCTTTAGTTTATGGCCATTGTTACTTGTCCTGTCACTAGACGCCACTGAAGAGCCTGGCACTATTCTCTTGGCACCTGTCTTTGAGGTATTTATATGCCTTAATGAGACCCCCACTCAGTCTTCTCTCCTCTAGAACAAGCAGGCCCAGCTCCTTCATTCTCTCCTTATAATGAGAGATGCTCCAGTCCCTTAATCTTCTCTGTGGTCCTCCACTGGATCCTCTCAAGCCTGCCGTGCTGGCTGCCCCTCCCTGCTCCTATTCGTAGAATCACAGGATCCATACTTTTTCGAGCTTGTGAAGGGGACCTGGGAGGTCACCTCACCCGGCCTCCGCTGCTCCACGCAGGGTCAGTGACGGTCGGTTGCTCAGGGCTTCGTTCGTTCGGCCTCTGAGCATCTGCGAGGCCAGGAACTCAAACCTTATCCCCGCCTGTCCCCGCCAGCTCAGCAAACCTGACGGGCCGCTCGGCTTTCCCGGCTGCCGCCGATCCCTGCCCAGACGCGTGGAGGCCGCGGCCGTGCGGGCACCGCCGCGCCCCGTCCTTCCCGGGCAGCGAGGAGGGGCGCTCCGCTCCCGAGAGCTCCCTCCCCGGGGCAGCAGCCGCGGAGCATTCGCGCCCAGTGGCGGCGCGGGGGGCACAGCGCGGGCCCGCGGACCGGCCCCGTCGGGCACTGCCCGGGCCGCCGCGACCCCCGCCGGGCCCGGGGCGGGCGCGGGGCCGGCGGAGGGTGCGTGGCCGGCGGAGGGTGCGGGGCCGGCGGAGGGCGCGGAGCCGGCGGAGGGCGCGGGGCGGGGGCGGCGGCGGGTCCCACCTGAAGTCCTTGTCGCTGGATGTCATTTTCTCCAGCAGGTTGGAGATGTGGTACGAGGCGCTCGCCATGTTGACGGACGCGGCCGGGGCGGGAAGGGGAGGAGGAGAGGAGGAGGCGGCGGTGGCGGCGTCTCCCGGGCTGGCCGGCCCCGCTGCGCCCGCGGTGCAGGGGCCGGGCCGGGCCGGGCCGGGGGCGGCTGCGGCGGGCGCGGCGGGAGGGGCGGGCAGGCGCGCGCGGCGGCTCGCGCTCGGCGCCGGGGTCGAAGGGCGGCGCCGCTGATTGGCTGCGCGGGCGGGCGGGAGGCGCGCGCTGCCCCGTGACACCTCGTGGCGTCAGATCGTACGTGGCGCGGAGCGTGCGCGGGAAGCTCGGGCGGCCGCGGGAGGGCGGCGGGGACTGCGCGTCCCGGCGTGCACCGCCCACGGCTCCGGGCGCAGCGCAGGCGCGGGGCACGCCGGGACCTGTAGTTTGCAGCGCGGCGGGATACCCGCCGCGCGGGGCACGCCGGGATGCGGAGGCTCGTCGTGGGGCGGGGCTGGGCGGGGCTGGGCGGGGCGGTTTCCCTGAGGGGGAGGCGGCGGAGGCGCGGTTGGAAACTGCTCCAGTTTGGATGCCGTCCGCGTCCAAAGGGGCCAGCAGTGCTGTAGGTTCCTGTCAGTGCCCACCGTGGGGCACCGGCAGTACTGCTGCTTGTACTGTGGCCATCACAAGCCCGCAGATTATCCTGGTGTTATAAAGCCGGCAGCTTCTGTTCCAGACCCTGTCACAGGTGTGCGATGTTCCCATCGTAGCTGAGCGCGCTCTCAAAAATGTCAGATGGAACCCAAAATTGATGTGAAAAATCAGCCGTGGCTTGCGGAAGGCAGCTTGGAAATGCGATGTGAGTGCTTTTAGAGGCCTCGGAAGCCAAAGGACACATTGGAGAGAGAGGGTATTTTTTGCGAACCCCTTTACTGTTCATGGCAGTCTCATTACTCTTCTGGGCACGGCCCATGGTCTGTATGCATGGGTAGATGATATGGAGCAGTAGTAGAACTGAGGAAATATTTCCTTACGTTACATCTTCCTTGACGTTCATGTTATTTTCCAAGAACTTTAATAGCCTTAATCCTTCTCAGTTACATTTGTATATAGCAAACCTACAGAAACACCTTTTGATCTCGTGATTAAAAATAAAGACTTGAACTACAAAGAAAATATCTTCAGAAGTTTATTACATGCAGTTTGCAAGGGATGGAGCAAGGCAAATGGGAGTAGTCGGGAGTGGGATGGGTGTCCGGAGGAGAAGGAGGAAAACATCAGTGTGGGTGGAGGAACTGTAGAGGGGGGAAGAACTCAAAAGGAGAGCTGGCCCAATGCTGACTGATTTTCAAGTAGGCCATTCATTCCTTTGATTTGGGAATACTGAATTTAGAGATTAACTTTAGAGAGTAATCCTTTACTTCATTTTGCTTGAATGCTTGTGTTGGATATTTAAGGAAGCCAACTGGAACAATACAGATGAAGACAGACTCAATCTTGACTTGGTTATGACGGCTGAAAATGGTTTATGATGTTGGAATTGCGGTGATATTTTACACACACAGGAAAACTGCATAGTTCCTCTTTGAAGTACTGAGGCATAAAAAAATTGAAGTACAAGTGTTTGACATTTGGCACATTGATTCATATTTTGACATGGGAAGGTTAGCACTATTCTAAATCATTTTAGTGACTGTGACTTTTCAGCATCTTACAGTGCCCAGGAACAATTTGTTTCTGGAATGTCAGTGTCCCGCAGTTCTCACATACTGTGGGAAAAGACTGTTCTAAGCCGGTCTTTATTTACATTCATGACTTTGGTACTAAATGGGGATCAGGTGGTTATGGGATGGTGAAACATCATCTGTTCCAAAAGCATTCTTCCCACATGGTTACCATGCTGCAACTAGACAAAAGAAAATCCTCTATGCTAGGTAAGGTTGATTCCTGTTGTGGAGTAAAGCATTGCCAGTGGTACCTGTGAACTGCTGTTGGGATTTGCCTTTTCAAATCCTTAATAGTTTTCAGTTAGATGCTAAACCAAGCTATATCCTACTTTGGGAATCCTACATAAATCTACATTTAAGAAGAGAGTGTATGAGAGGAAAAAAGAACAATTCTGCTCTGATCTGCTAGATGACCTTGAACACGTCTAAAATTTTTTTTTAATCATTTAACATCATCCTTCCTGTTGACGGAGGGGCTCAGGTAACATATGAATATGATCTATAAGATCTTCAATATGTCCGCTTTATTAAAAGAGTTGTGACCTCTTATAGTCTCTCTAGACAAGGTCTCGTGACCAGATGCACATAATTGGTTACAAGCTACTGTCCAGATGTAAACATACATTACAAATACACATATAATTGGCTTATAACAGGTATCTAGGCAGAATAAGATAATTATTTACTTTAACAAACCCCACCTTCTTCTTGGCACAGATTTCCTTTTGTTCTAGGTAGGAAACTTGCAGCCATCTTGGCACTTACAACTTATAATATCTATAAAGCTATATTAAAGCAAAGTTTATAAAACTACAGAACACAATATAAATTGCTCGTGTATCCATCATGTTCCTCCCACACCTTTCCATGCTAGTTTCTGTACCTGCAGCTTACCTGCCACTGCTTAAGTCCGATTTCCCATTACTGCCAGATACACCAACCATTACGAAGGAAGTCAAAGTATTTTTTTGTTCAAGTACATTTATTACAATTGGGATTCAGCTATAGTAGGTGCAATGTTCCAGAGGAAGTTAAACACAGAGAGAGACTAATTGAGTTGAGATTTTTTCCAGCTGATAGCAAACAACTTCACAGATGGAGTGGTACTCCTGATCTGTTCCCTGTAGACATGCATATTAGATGCTCTTCATTCACTCACAAAGATATCTGAAAGCTTAATTAAATGCTGGAACCTGAAAGGATTTATCTTGCTTTACACTTGCAAATATATTCCCCAAATCCTGAAGAAGAGAGAAGAGCAGAGTTAGTTTAGAGATGCACTCACAGCTCCAGAATTTGAACTCTCCTCATTTTGCAGTTTCAGTTCACACAGGAGCTGTGATCCCACTGATGGACAGAGGATATTGGGAATGTGCTGCATCTTCATCTGTCAGCGTGGAATGAGCTATACCACACAGCTTTACTCAGCTTAAAGGTAATCCTTTTAGATGACAAGTTAAAAGCTGGTTATCATTTTTTACAGCTGTTTTTGGGGAATTAAAAGGAAAATTTCTGCTCTAAGTCAAAAGCAGCTCACTGCTGCAAGCAGATATTTGAGCCAGAGAACCTTACAGTTGTGGTTTATCACTTAGATATGTGACTGACTTTGAACATCTGAACCCTGGCTTTTCACAAAGATGCCTGTAAAGAAAGCCTTTACAAATTTATTGACTGATCATATTAACAAACCACAGATGGTTTCAAAGAAGTAATCTAGACTGAAATATGAAAGGAACAAAAAGGAGTGGTATGGCAATCTTTAACTTAAAGCAAATAAATTGAAAAAGCAACATAACCTACACTGCCACAGTCACGTGGGTAAATGTGTGTTTCAAGGTATTAAGGTTATTATTGTATTGCATTGTTATAAACTGTTAGGTTCCAAGACATGAAGGTGAGTTAACTGTGGAATTTAAAACTTGGCTTTGGAATCTTAATCATAGCAACACTCTGCTAAGGGTGGGTCTTTTTTTCCCCCCTTGTTTTTTGTTTCCCTTATTTTTCAAGTTAGATGGCATTCCATAGCAAATGATAGCAATTTCAAAGGGCGCATTTAGAACTAAATAAATCATCAGCTGCCTTTCAATCTCATAAACCAAAGTTTTAGTTAAGTTTTTTCTCTTTTCCTAAAGCTGAAAACCTGCTCATATCCAAGTTAAGTAAGAATCTCAAAGCATCTTTCCAAAAGCAGTTGGTGCTACTATGCTGATTCTCACTGAAGATCGTTCCGTTTCTGGACAATAGAAGATACTGTTGGTCTTGTTTAGGAGATATTTCTACGCACTTATCAAAGAGAATAAATAATAGCTACAGCTGTGAACTGCCTTCCCAATCCAGATAGTCCATTTCTGTAAATCAAAGCAAAGCAAAACAAAGTATTTGAGTATCTGATTCCTCAGCTTCAGAAAGAGAAAGATAGGAAAACAGTGCTGAAAAGAATATATTCATCTGGTTAAGTAACAGACTGAAGCGACTGTCACATGAGCTCAGATTGTCTCTCTAAAAGAACAGAGCTCCAATAGCACCCTCATCATAAGATTAAGTTTCAGGAAACATAATATCTTAAAGGAAAAAAATACAACAGGCTTTTAATTAAAAGGTTAAAAAAAAAATCAAAAAACCTCCCGCACAATAACGCTAAAAGAAATTTCCCCTTCTGATTGCTAAACACTGCACAGATTTTTGCAGATCTCTGGTCAATTTCAAATGCATACCACAACCACACAAAAGTAAAAAAGAAAATTAACCTTTCAAATTAAATCTGATTTGAAATATGAGCCAGACATTTAGACGGAAAGATTTTTATCATTGTATTATTTTCATGCCAAATGAACTCAGTTTACAGAAAAAAATATTTTTTTCTTCTTTAATATCTCTCCTGAAAATCAGTCCAACTTGTTTTTGCTTGACCATTTTCATTCCTTATCACAACTCTAGATTTGTAATTCCTTCAGAGCCCTTTATGTTTCCCTTTATGTCAGCACACACAACTTTCTTCATACAATGGTCTCAGCAATGCTTGTACTCAAGACACCTCTCTTCAATAAACTTAAAAGCACTTGTTTAATTTAGTAACTCAGGTTACTGAACAATATTCTTTGTGTCTCAGAAGTTGTAAAAATACAAATTAAGTGTTTGCCTTATTGAGGCTTATTAGAACAAGAGGTAGCTGTATTATGGATTTTGTTTATTCTGGATCCTGCATTTCAGAAAAGCCTTGACCATACTGATAATTTAGAAATTTCAACATTAGTACGTTGGCTAATTACAAGTCAATGTTTGTTAAAGTGGGCATAAGAGCTAATCTGTTTCATTTCCTGACATAACAACACTGCTGTTGTTCTCTCTGTTCTGGCTCAAGAGTGCTTCACTTCAGGCTAACAGAATGTGCTATCTCCCACATTTATCAGACTCTCAGTAACAGCAAAGTTGAAAAAA